TGTGTGCATCGCCATCTTTGCTTGGAGTCATGTCCTTTGGTCCTGGCGTCCAGCCAAGTCGGGCTTTGAAGGCAGCCCCGCAGACAATGTCCGCTTGGTGCTTTCTGGTTGCTGCTATTGTCAGTCGATCCCAGGTGCGCGTGTCATTGGTTAACATACGAACCTGGGCCACAGGCGGTCTCAAGCCCCGAGCATGTAGTAGTTGCATGAGTTCATCAATCCACTGCTTGCTACCGAGGGTCACCGCTGACTCTGCTCCACCACCACAGAGATCAGGACGTTTTGTGCGATTGCTCCATACATCGTGGCCAGCATCATGCTTTCTCCATGCGCCAGCCAGGCTAATACAAATGGTTCCCAGGAAAAGGTACTTCCAAAATCCATCGAGGCCAGATGGCCGCTCAAACCCACCTGAGCGGTCTTGGTGCTCGAAAGAACATGTGGAGAGTGAGGCCACTAAAGACGAAGTTAGTCTCGAAATGTTGTGAGCATCAGGTGGTCCGCTCCGTGAATGACCACGCAAGCAAACCAAGATGTCTCTCTTGTTCCTCTTCTCGGACGAACGGTGCAGGGCATAACTCAAATTGTGGCTCCATGAGAGGACATGTGCATCAAATGTCAGGGGAGCAAAGCAAGAATGTTCCAGGTGTAAGCGGTGCTCAACTATGTAGATGCATAACATGCTGAGAACGGGTACCAAGGTAAGAAAGCATTTCCTGAATTTGGAGCACATGTCTTTGAGGCATGCGCCAGCCACCAAACCTCGCACAAGGTATCCAGGATAATCGGTGGACTTCATGGCCTTCATCGGCTCCATGGCCTTCATGGCCTTCACCTTCATCGCCTTCATGGCCTTCATGGCCTTCACCGGCTTCATGGCCTTCATCGCCTGCAGAGCCTTCATGGCCTTCACGGGCATGGGCTCCTTGGACTTCATGGCCTTCATGGCCTTCGCCTTCATCGCCTTCATGGCCTTCATGGCCTTCACCGGCTTCATGGCTTTCATCGCCTGCGTGGCCTTCATGGCCTTCACGGGCATGGGCTTCTTGGGCTTCATGGCCTTCACTGCCGTCATGGCCTTCATGGGCTGCTGGCCAGCTTTGGTTGGCCCCTTGGCCGTGGCTTGGAAGGAGGAGATGGCTGGCACGCACTGCATCCCAAATGGCTACCCGTGCAAGGTTTCACATTGGCAACTGCCATGCCATTAGCCTGGTGGCTTGGCGGCTTGACTGCATTGCTATTAGCCTGATGGCTTGGCTTCAGGCCATGTGGCTAGCCTGGTGGCTTGACTTCATGGTGTGTGAAATAATGGAGCCATGTGGCTTGCTGCCAAAAAGCACATTTTCGGAATTAGATTCTTGCATGCGTTTTTCAAGCCAATGCCAAGGCTACAACATTCAAATGCACTGCCAGTGAGGGCGTGTCCTTGCAGCCAATGCCCATAGGTTCTGCACCATAATCTTGCCCCAGCAGCTACGCAAGACCTTCTGGGTTTGACAATCGATATCCATTCTGGCCACCAAGTTTCATTGGTGCACCCACATGGCAGCCCACCTCTCTGTCCACAACATGTTACCCAGCTGCTTTGTCCAAGAGAGGAAGCATAAGATTGTGAAGATGTCTGGCCAGACCATATCCAACACAGTGAAATTCGACTAGTCGACCATGTAGGAAATACTTTGCCATGATTTATTTGTGCTCTCAGAAGCCCACCAACAACACGCAGAAGTTTCAACAGTCCCACTTTGACCAAGAAGATGTGTGGGCGTGTATACCTGCAACCAGCAAGCCATTGCTCTAAAGATGATGTGGTTTTTATCGAAGAGCATGGTGGCCATGTCCAAGTTGGACAAGTCCACATCCATGCCAGCATTGGTTGTGAAATGTACAGCTTAGTATCAAGTTGTGAAGAAATACCAAAGGACAAAAAAAACCTGGTGTGCTGTTTGCAAGCCAACTGACCAAGCAGCCATCGTAAAAACATCACAAATGCTGTGTGCCACAAGTTGGTGTCAGTTCAGGGCCCATGCGAATGCAAAGTTCTTATCCCGTTGCGGGCTAGGTGGGCGCGTGTTGGCTGAATGGATTGAACACATTAATGGTTGCTTGTCAGTTGCTTGTCAGCAAACCACAGGGCTAGTCATTCAAGCTGGGTGTTTGCTTGGCTTTTGTGCATGCAAGCCATGTAAAGTGCTAGGCCTTCAGGCTACTGTTGCCATGGCCATGGCTTTGCCAAGTTGCTTTTGCTTTATCGTCAAGCATCAAGGCTTCTTGTTTGATGAACTTTCCTCAGCTTGACAGTATATAGGTCCCATGTGAGTACTGAACCTCTGGCTTTCATTGCAAACAGTTAACTGGAATGGTGAAGCCTTGTTGGATGAGCAGGTCCTTGGTAGCCAGCCAGGCTTAAACTTACAACCAAGATGGTGCTGGCACACGCAATGAAATTCATGTCTTGGTAGCCATCTGGCTCATGTTCCTGAAGATTGCATGTCGTGGTAGCCACCTGGCTCATGATCCATCAATAATGCTTATGAGCAGTATGAGCTTGCCTTGACTGGTCACGCATGAGCTTTTGTATCATGAGCTCATATGGCTGATCCATTTTAATAAATGCACATGCACAGCTTTGATTTGCATAATGACGAGCAGCACTGCCAAAGCCTATATCTATTCTCTCACTTGCTCTGGTGAGTCTAAACAAATTGCTGCCAACAAGGCAGAATAAAAAAAAAACAATGAATCATATGTTTGACCATCACTTCACATGTAATAAACCTAGTATGTTTCTTTTTGCTAACCACTTAGCTAACCACTTAGCTAACCCTTGGCTAACCCCTGGCTAACCTCTTAGCTAACCCCCTAACTTAAGCCCTTAGCTAACTAGTTAGCATTTGTTAGTATATATTATGTCTTTGCCCCTATGTCCTACTAACTCTAACAAACCCCCGGTGCATCCCAGCAATGCAGCCCCGCGAAGAGACCCGCGAAGGGAAAGAGCTCCGCGAAGGGGAAGAGCCCCGCAAAAGGAAAGAGCCCCGCAAAGAAGGGGAAGAATGCAGCCCCGCGAAGGGGAAAGAGCCCCGGAAGAGCCCCGCAAAAGGGAATGCAGCCCGGCGAAGGGAATGCACGCCCGCGAAGGGAATGCAGCCCCGCGAAGTGGAAAGAGCCCCGCGAAGGGGAAAGAGCCCCGCGAAGGGGAAGAGCCCCGCGAAGGGAAAGCAGCCCCGCGAAGGGGAAAGAGCCCCGCGAAGGGGAAGAGCCCCGCGAAGGGAATGCAGCCCCGCGAAGGGGAAGAGCCCCGCGAAGGGAATGCAGCCCCGCGAAGGGGAAAGAGCCCCGCGAAGGGGAAGAGCCTTGCGAAGGGAACGCAGCCCCGCGAAGGGGAAAGAGCCTGCGAAGAAAAAAACATCCGCGCAGGGGAAGCGCAACGCGAAGGGAATGCAGCCCCGCGAAGGGGAAAGAGCCTCGCGAAGGGGAAGAGCCCCGCGAAGGGAATGCCGCCCCGCGAAGGGGAAAGAGCCCGGCGAAGGGGAAGAGCCCTGCGAAGGGGAAGAGCCCGCGAAGGGAATGCAGCCCGAGCCCTGCGAAGAAAAAAAATCCGCGAAGGGGAAGCGCCCCACGAAGGGAATGCAGCCCCGCGAAGGGGAAAGAGCCCCGCGAAGAGAAAGAGCCCCGCGAAGGGAATGCCGCCCCGCGAAGGGGAAAGAGCCCTGCGAAGGGGGAAGAGCCCTGCGAAGGGGAAGAGCCCGCGAAGGGAATGCAGCCCCGCGAAGGGGAAAGAGCCCTGCGAAGGGGAAGAGCCCCGCGAAGGGAATGCAGCCCCGCGACGGGGAAAGAGCCCCGCAAAGGGCATAGAGCCCTGCGAAGGGGGTAGCTTCCAGGCTGAAAAGGAACCCGGCGCAGGGGAAGACTTGCGAAGAGGAAAAAGGTGCAGGGGAAGGGGGGGGTGACGGGCCATGCCCCGTCGAGGGGATGGGAAGGATCGAAAAGAAGGAATCAAGGTGGAAAACAAAGGTGGGGAGGTTGGAAAAAATGCAATCAAGGTTGATTCAGAGAAGAAACAAGGTGAACAAAAAGTGTGGCAAGGTTGAAAAAACATGAAGTGCCGACCCTGAAATTGAAAAAGAAGGGGACAAGGTAGAAAAAAAAGCTTAAGGTTGAAAAAAAAGGGTCCAAGGTTGAAAAAAAGGCATGCCCAAAAAAAAGAGGGAACTAATTCTGGGGAATCAATGTGCTGTTGGGCTAGACAACCCGCAGCACCGACATATGGATGCGAGATGTCTAGCACAAGTAGCTAACGCGCGAACACACACACACACACACACACAGTCAAAACACAACACAACACAACGCAGCGCAAGGCAACTCAGCGCAACAAACTCACAAACTCACAGCAACACAACCGCGCTCTCTCGCTCACTGACTGACGGACTGACTCACTCACTGACTCACTCACTGACTCACTGACTCACTGACTTGACTCACTCACTCACTCACTGACTGACTGACTGACTCACTCACTGACTCACTCACTGACTCACTCACTGACTCACTCACTCACTGACTCACTGACTCACTGACTCACTGACTCACTGACTCACTGACTCACTCACTGTACTCACTGTACTCACTGTACTCACTGTACTCACTGTACTCACTGCACTCACTCACTGACTGACTGACTGACTGACTGACTGACTGACTGACTGACTGACTGACTGACTGACTGACTGACTGACTCACTCACTCACTCACTCACTCACTCACTCACTGTACTCACTGTACTCACTGTACTCACTGTACTCACTGTACTCACTGTACTCACTGTACTCACTGACTGACTGACTGACTGACTGACTGACTGACTGACTGACTGACTGACTGACTGACTCACTCACTCACTCACTCACTCACTCATTCACTCACAAACACAGCCCACGTTTAGAAAGCCACTACAACACCTCTCGCGTTTGGACCCAACAATCAATCCAGGCAACCAACATGACAATGCTGTCCCAACTGCACCATGGTCGTCTCCTCAGAGTCCAGGTTCTTGTCCGGGTGCCACTTCAAGCACAAGGCCTTGTAACGACTCCGGCGCTCCGCCTGCGCTCCGGAAGCACCACGGCACCTCAAGGCACATGGCCGTGAGGTGGCGATCTGATGCGAGCTGCTGACTAAGCCCCAAGACCATGTCAAACAACACGCTCTCGGTGGCTTTCTGCTCGGAAAACCTTGTAGTTGGCAAAAAGTGAAAGTCCTAACATCCAAGCAAAATACACCAAAGACGCCAAGCCAGAAACTCGAGCCATTTACCACCGAAACGGCATGACAAGAGAATTCCCGCAGCAAGCGGCAGGCAGTATCAAGATGCCTCAATGAGCCCGCAGCGCGGACGGGAAAACTAACAGTTATTCAACCAATGATTGCCGGATTTCAAGCTGTCAACCGGATCAACTTCTTCACACGCGACAAGCCTGTTTCTGTGCTTGCGCTCTCTTCATCTTGCAGGCAAAGGACAAGCCTGACGAGAGATCGCTTCTCTGTTCAACAGCCACCAGATTTTCTCGACACCGAAAATACAAACTCAAAGAGGGTGACATCAACCGCTCAGTTGCCCATCTTGAAACAAAAGGTTCACCTGTTGGGGCCATAACTGGACATGGACCATAAAGGGAAAACCAAAAGGTCAGAAGGTCGACTTTAGGCAAGTGAGATCGGATGACATCAACCGGGTGGGAATATGCTCTAGGCACATGTCTTCGTACATCTCCGCTGCTGGCATCCGCGCTTCTGGTTTCAGCGGCCAGGACACCCCCGGCGGCAGTTCCAACGCCTCTGCCTTTGGCTGGCAGTCAGCGCCTTGGCCGCGTGCATCACCTCTGGCGTTGCAACGAAAAAAGCAGAGACTTCGGGACTTCGGCGCCTCACAACTGATTAGAGGTCCTCCCTGTGCTCAGAAAAAGGCTGCGAAAGGAAGCCAAGGTCGCAGGGCATGGATAGAACTGTGGCGCATGGGAGGCTTGGGCACCGCTGCATTTTGAGACCTACGCTTGTCTCAAATGACCGGGCTGATGACAATCCCTCACAACCTTAGGTGTCCTAACCATGAGTTCAGACGCATCAACTCTCGGAGAAAAAAATATGCCAAGCTCGCAGGTCACATGTTGCCAGTTATACTTTGACACAAAAAAAACCCTTGACTGCACCTTGTGCTTTTGGCCGTTGCCACGCCTGGCTGATCTGCTCCTAGCTCCTGCGGCCCCAGGCTGTGGCGCTTGTCACGCACTGCCCTCCGCGACGCGGCCGCCGTCTTCGCCGCCGCCTTCGCCGCCGCCGGGGCCGGCGCAGCCGTCGGCGCGGGCGGCGCGAGCGAGGGCTCCGCCAGCGGCTTCACGCGGATGTGGCGCTTCAGACCGGTGCAGAGGTTAATTTGGACCATCCTGGCTGCAAGCTTATGAAACCCAGTGAGCCTAAGCAATGGGCTTACGAAAAACAGCAAATTGCCACATAATCCAAGTTGAACATGTCCAAGCCCACAGCTCAAGGTCTGAAGGGGGCGTTGTTTCTCTCCCTTACACGCCACTTCTGTCGGATGCCCCTTACACGCCTCGGAAACTGGATCTCGTACTCCAAGCCCCTGGCTCGGTAGCGCACCTGGTCATGACCCATCATCCAGGCGCGGACGAGGTGCTGCAACTCCTCGCTGGAAAAAACAGCATGTGAGGTGGTCGTATAGTTTTTGAGACTAAATCAGGAGGCAACTGCATGTTTCATCTTTTGCGGGCCTTCTTTTCGGCTTCAGGCTTCAAGCTTACAAGCTTACATAGAAAGAGGCGTTGCTGAAAAGCAAATACGACCTTCCGATAGCTGAATTAAGAGTTGGATCCCCAAGTTGATCGGCCCTTTGTGGTGAACCGGAAAAAACCGCGGGTCAGCTCGCAGTGCAATAGCCAGATGTTGGAGCCTTCAACTCGCGTGGCTCCTAGCCTCCCGGCTCACGGACTCAATTTGGGATGATGACAATCCTTGGGCAAAGAATGGTGGCTATATTAACCCCCACTATTCAAATTGTGGTTTAAAATGCCCAGGGCAAAACGTGTCTAACAGTTGTCTAAGCAGCTAAGCACTCTGAAATACTCTACTCCTTGCCACCCGTGCATTCACACCGAATTCCACTCCAGAAGCCAAGCCCGAGATCCCAAAACGACTGGCCGCAAAAACATCTTCCCTCCTCATCCTCGAAGTCAGCCCAAGTGCCGTTCTTCAGCTCCTGCGTCTTGGCCGCCAGCCCCCCACGCCCCCCGGCCCGCGGCGACCCTGCGCTCACCGACTGCATCCATGCAACAGCAATCCGAGCTTGTGGGCGGCAACTGATTCGCCCCAACAAGAACAAAGTGACCAATCATGCGCAAATGACAAATACAACAAAAGCGGAGCTTTTGGCTCTGCATTCCGAATCCCGAAGGCTGGAATTCGAAAATTCCCCCCAGACGAGGCGCCCACTGGTACCGCGTCGCCGCCCCGCCCGGATCCGCCGCCGAGATCGCGCCAGCCGCGCCCAGCCGCGGCGCCCAAGTCGGGTCCCAGCGCAGCCGCTGCTGGCGGCCAGAGCCGCGGTCCCGCCGCAGCAGCTGCCGGAAGTCCACGTCGTAGCTCACGTCCTGGCGCTCAGAGCTCCACAGCTAGGGGGCCGAGGGAGGTATATGGTTATCTATTTACATTCATATATATATGTATATATATATATATGTGTGTGTACCCTTTTCGCAGCTGACATGGTAAGGACCTTTATTTCCAAGACCTGGTGAGGCCTTCTGGAAGCTTATCATGTTAGCCTGCGGGAGTGTACATGCACATTTGTATGTGCATACTGCATGCAAACTGTTTAAAAGCTGAAGTCGCAGTTGTCTTGCCAGCCATCACCTGCCCAAGACCCAAAGTCATCCCCGACAAACACATCACACACTTAGGGGCACTCACCCGCGCATCTAGGATCCGCAGAACCAGGGGTCCAGCAAAGCAAATGGACAGCTGAGGAAAATTAACTTGGGAGACCTCTCGCTGCCAATGGGGCAAAGGGACGCCTTAGCGAACTAGCTCCGTGTGGGTCTCAGCAGCTGAAAACCGCATCACCTGAGGACAAATGTTGGGGGGCGCGAGCGTCCAGAACGCAGGTTTTGAAGCGCTCCCCGGGCATTTTAATCAGAAGCTAGTTGGGGTCTTGAGCGTAGGTGTCCTTTTAGGGCAAATAGATGGCCCTGGTAGATGATTAAACCACCAGGTAAACCAGGGCCATGAAATTGTCTACCAAACAACCAAAAAGGACGCCTATGGTCTGGAGCGCCGAATTGCTTTCAGGGAGTGTTCAGGCGAAACCTGACCCCTGTGCTGCTGCAGTGCTTTTCGCGCTTCTGGAAGACTAGGACTCTTAGCCCGCGGGCCATGCTCCGTTGGGCGAAATTACGCCGACACGAAATACCACGAGAGATTCCGGCGTAGCAAGTCCTGAATGCTGATATCGGATTTGCAGATTCTTGCTTCGGTGAGGCTCCATCAAGCTTGCAAAACTGATGGATCACCCAGGCCGTTCCCGGGAGCGGCTCTCTAGCGCATCCAGGTTGACTCTTGTATCTATTGGTCCCGGCTTCCAACACGGCAATGAACAGGAAAAACCACACTGGACGCGAGGTCACTTCAGGATTGCACCTGCGAAAAGGTGACTTGTGGGATGCTTTTGCGGCATGGATGCTGGTGATTGCAGCTGGGCAGTCTTTCTCAATTGCTCGTTCCCTATGAAAATCTGGCTGGGTTCTGAGGCCAGGTTGCTAAAGACTTCTGGGCTCACACAAGCTCGGATTTCAGCTCCTGTTCCTGGCTGCCCTGGCTACTTAACCTGAGACAACACTCCCAACCCAAATAGCTTCAAATTCTGGAGGGAAAGTAGGGACAGATTTCCGCACTTTGCCTGTGGCTGGATTTTGTTTCCGGAATGATAGCAAAAGAATGGTTCATAGTCTTCTATACAAACCACGGCTAGCATGCTCTTCCAAAGCAATCATTCTTGGAATGCGGGGCGACTTGAACAGCTACGCCTTTCATTTTTCAATGAAGCTGCTGGATGTCCTGAAGATTGAGGGTCCTAAAAAGGGATCCTTACAGTATACACCTGAACATTGCCTTGTAAATGGTGGTGTCCCTTTATTTTGGTGGAAAAAGCCATGTTTCAATTGGGCAAAATGTATCTTTTAAGGAGCCCTGCTAAAGCAGGCTCCTGGCTGGGCTTGGCACCATGCACTGTGTACAGCGCCACCGGCTGGTTGGCATGCAAGGCTGCGGTAAGGGTGGCGCCCACGTCTGCAGGCAGCTCCTAGCTGGGTGGGGGGCAGTAGATTTGGCATTCATCGGGCTTCTCGTGCGTCTACGTTCATCCATCATGCGCCGCGACCACTTGCACTCACACACCTTCGTGAACAAGGACGTCACTCAACTCTGAACATGATGGTCAACTCTTGCCTGAAGAAGGTATCCTTGACAATCCTTGAAAGCGCTTGAGACCCAAAACGGACCGTAGCGAACAAATTCAGGACCCGCGCTTCGAGCGCCGGTCATGTTGGACGTCGGGTCTGGCAAGTTGAGCGTTGAGTGTGCAATGAGCTTGCGAGAAAAAAACACAAACACACACACACACACAGATTACGGGTCCGTGCCCAGGCGCTAGTCCAAAGCAGTCATGCTGAAATCCGCCCTGCCTCCCACGTCTCGGGGGCCGTCTCCACCAGCCACGCGCCCTTCGGCGCATTGCGCTCCACGGGCGGCCGAGTGGAAGCTTCTTCGGCCGCCGGGGCCAGGGCTACTTCGGCGGGTGCGGCAGGTGCCGTCCACCTTGCCTTAGCCGGGTACGCAAGGAACAGTGCTCTTGCATGTTTTCCTCGCAAGGGGTCCTAGGAGCCTAGGAGCTTCCAGGTTAGTCTGGGGGAGGGTATGTGGCCGAAACCTCTCATCCTCAGGGGTGATCATCACCGGCTGTTCATGGCTTATCCTCTTCGCTCATCGCACTAAATGACAGTCGAAGTGTCTGCCAACCAACTGACCGATCTAGACTGCAAGCGAGTGAACACACAACCACACAAACACACAATCACGGACACAACCACAAGCATCCGAGACAGGCAGCCAGCCAGCCAGCAAGCCATCAAACAAGCAGGCAAACAAACAAACACGCAGCCGAAGCAAACAAGCGAGAAGCACAAGCCAATCACCGAAGCAACCGATCGATGACGCCAAGTCAAAGTGATTCAAGCCCACCTTTATCAGGGCACGACAAACCAACCAACCCAACAAACACGCAAACTTGAACGCAAGCAAACACGAAGGAAGCAAGAAAGGAATGCAGGAAGGACGCACGCCTGTATGCATGCACCCAAGCAAGCGAGCTAGCACGCACGCACGCAAGCAAGCACACGACAAGCACGCGAGCACCCCATCAGGAAGACAAAGCAGCCACACATACACACAAATAACAAACAACGAACAACGAAGAAGCAAACCACGCAAGCCAAGCAAGCCACGACAAGCAAGCAACGCAAGCACGCAAAGCAAAGCAAAGCAGAACACATCAAAGCAAGCAGGCAGGCAGGCAAGCAAGCAAGCAAGCAAGCAAGCAAGCAAGCAAGCAAGCAAGCAAGCAAGCAAGCAAGCAAGCAAGCAAGCAAGCCAGCAAGCCAGCAAGCCAGCAAGCCAGCAAGCCAGCAAGCCAGCAAGCAAGCAAGCCAACACTGAAAGACACTCGCAAACACACACAGACACAGAGACACAGAGACACAGAGACGCAGACACAGAGGCAAAGAGACACACACCCACACACACACACATGCTCGGACGCACGCAAGCGTGCATGAATACACGAATGCACCACACAAAAACGCAGAGAAACAAAACATACCAACCATCAACCGAAGAAACAAGCACACAGCTTTCGAGATCAGCTGCTCCGGCTACAACCGCGGGAGCTATTGTCGGCTTGGAGCCGGGCTCCTTGAGGCTCGCCGACGTATCGGTGACTTGCAGAAAGGAGGCTTCATACTTCTCAGCTGACCCGCCGCATCCCATGGGCTCTTAGGCAGGCATGGCGGGTGGCACAAAGCCGGACGTATGTGCTGCGCAGATGCTTCGCTTGCTGAAAACATGGTTCCGGTGCCGATGGTCCGAAGGAGGCAGCTTGGCTCTTGAAGTACATTGATCTTAAATGATCACAATCATTCATCAGGAAATCAGGTTGCTCCCTGAGGGTTCCCAAAAATCAGGCACGTGACTTGTGGCAGTGCCTTCGCGAGTAAAGATGGCACTTGCCCGGTTGATCCAGCTCTTGCTTGTGCGCTAGAGCACGAACGGCTGCAAATTTGACACTTTTGGGCCCTGGTGCGCATTGCAGGGCCAATCTTAGCATCTCACGACTCATGCAAAGTTCGTGACAATCATGCATTCATCTGGCAACATCAGCAACATCAGCAACATCATGTGGAAAGCATTCCAATATGCCCAAGATCATAGGTGTCCTTTTTGGAAAATAGATGGCCTGGTAAATGGTTGAACCACCAGGTAAACCAGGGCCTTCGTTTTTTAAGCAAAACAACCCAAAAGGACACCTATGCCCAAGACAAAACCATTCGCGCTGTAACACAAAAAGCCTGCGAAGACATTGCCATAAATACAACGGGCGCCGGGCCCCGTTGCTTCTTCCGTCGATGTATTCGTTGCCATGACATGCCCGTGCTTGCAGTTGTGTTTGCAGCTGACTAGGGCTCCCAAGATGTCCCCCTAAAAAAAAGTATTGGGAGGCCTGTCGCAAGTCAGAAATTCTTGACATGACGACCACTGCCGGGCTGGGAGAAACTAAGGTGGAAGGGCAATGTAAATGAGGCCTAACGCCTTGAGTGGGGCGTCAAGTGACAATCCAAGTCTGGAATGCTAACTTATCAAACCCTTGCCATGCCCCTGTCTGCACTGATATGGCTTCCCAACTTCCAGATCACCCATCCAAATGAAACCTGTCATTGCTCATCTGGCTGTGGCTCAAAAAACCGGTACCGAAATGGAACCCTGAGTATAACGCTGTGAGTGGAAACATGGACCAAAACCTGCTGTTTGCCCCTCCTGATTATTTTTGAGCCAAACCCATCTGAGCCTTTTGAAGAAGTCCTCGCACGCACAGTTGCCGTGCCAAGCGGCGACCATAAATGGAAACTTCTCCCAGCAGAAGTTCTCCCGCTCCCAGCCTCAAGCCGAGCTCAGCTGGACAAGGAAAACAAAACAAGCATCCTCAAGAGGGCAGTTTTCTTTTGCAAAATGCGATTCTTGGAAACAATAACTTGCACGGAAGGCTCTTGACTAGCAGAACAAGTGGAAGAAGTTGCAATTCGCGAAGCCGGCTCTGAAAATGACAAGCTAGCTAAGCTGCATGAGTTAGCAAAGGTTGGGAAGCGTGAGCAGCGAACGCGGTGTACTCAAACCTTTCTTGCAAGTGGAAGGGCAGGCCACGGGCAAGAGCCAAGTGCATGCTGCGAGAGGCTGAACAAGCGAGCCATGCTTTTTTTTGGTGGTTCGGGCCGCGCGGCCTATGCCGCTGCAAAGGGTGCCTACGAGAGCACGAGTCAGCTTCCAGGTGCCTACGCGGACGCCTCCGCGGGCAAACGTTCAAGTGTTGAAGTGCCGTTTGGCAGCTCCAGCTGGAAAATCACAACTTTTCAGCACAAGCAGTTTTGGCAGCTGCAGCTCTAGGATCTGGCTGCTAAAAAAAGGTCTATGTACTCAAAATGCCCTGGAAGCCTACGCAAATGCCTACACCGGGCCCACACACAGCCTACGCGAAGAGTGCAGAACAAACGGAAGCAAGGCAAAAGAAGCCCCTTTACCCTTGGCAAACAGCATTGAGCCATGAGCTGTTCAAACGCCTGCACAAAAAGTCTACGCCACGCGATGCTTGAAACAACAGCCTACGCGCAGAAGCCTACGCGAGCCTACGCCCCCAACCAGGATTGCCTCCGCAAAGTACATGCAATTCCCTTTTTGTATAAACCCTTTCATTTGATTAAAAACCGCTGCTCAAGTGATTGCCCTCAAAAGCAGCAAGTGAAACGCAGCTTGGGGCAATGAAGCAAGCGAGCCCTCAATGGAAAAGCCATGCGCCACAAACAAGGAGAACTAGAAAACTGCCATTTGCTTAAGCCCCCTGGAAAAATATGTCCAGTAGTCATAGACTCCCTTTAAAACCAACAGTGGGAAAACAAATAATATTCATTTCAGCAAATGGAAGCAGCAAAGGATCCGCATCGACGCTCCGAGCTGCGCTTGATGCACTCCTCCCGGCTCTTTCCGGAACCACACCTCGCAGGGCTCTTCCGGTGTACGGCGACCGCAACAGCAGCAGAGTTTTATCCGAACAGGAGAATCACCGGTTGGGAAATGTGCTAATTCAACCAAATTGAGGCAAAGTATTTTTTGAAAAAAACAACATTTGGTTATCCATTTTAAAACCTCTTCTCCAACCAGTTAGCTGCAACTAAAGAGGGCACGTTCATTAGCCAAGGGCTAGTACACAACCCACCTTGTAAACAAAGCAGCCAAGGTACATAAGGGTGAAACGAAGCTGGCAAGGGAGAACGAAATCTCTCTGCATGTTTTCTTCCAAACGGCCTACCCACCGGCTCTGCCACTAGACTCTTCGGAAGTGTGTTCGATTGCAGGTGGCAGAAATTGTGTCTTGACTTCTATTATGTTTACGTTGGTCTCAGTCCAAAGTGAAAACAAGAAGCGTGCAACGACATGAAATGATCTGCGAGCACAGAACGTAGATGAAAGCATTGACCTGAAAAGGGATCCACATGTTCAAACAGATTTGTCGTAAGTTAGGTCCAAACCGCGAGGACAAAGATCTATCAGTAGGCATCAAAGCATTTCTCCTGGGAGGACAACCTATCAAGCAATAGGAACCTTGCACAAACCCCGCGCAGCTTTACCTTATCATGGAGTCCTTAAGCGGGGGGGGGGGGTGGTCCAAAGGGGGAATCCCCTAAGACTCCCTAAGGAACCCTGAAGGAATCTAGGGAAGGGAACCTAGGGCTCTCAACCACCCCCCTTGTACCTACCCCACTCAGAAATGGCCGCCTCGGAAGATGCCTCACAGCTTACTCATATCGCAAACATGCACGCTGCAACTTTCAATGGAGCAACTCATCTTGCTTCTCAGGACTGAGCGAGTCCGGGGTTTGGGGAACTCACGCATGGTTTCTCTTGGGGCCTTGCCAGCTCATTCCCTGCCTATCGAACCAGCAACTTATTCAAAAGACCCAAGCGGACTGTGGCCCGTATGTGGGCCACATGAAACCCGCGATGCAAGGCGTGGAGTGCAAAACAAGAATGTCCACCTATGATTAATGCTTAATCAATATACCCCCCAGAATAAAGCGAAGAACAAACCAACATGACAAAATGCCCCTAAATAAAGTTAGGCTTGTTCCCATATCATTTCTAACCATGCCCGGCATGTTTTTGGACCCAGTCCAGATGTCTATGTTCATGACGCTTTCTTTGTTTAAAATATTCTCAATGAACATCGTAAAGCAATCAGCCAAGGGCACACCCCACAAGGTCATTTGCACTAAATAAAGCATACCCCAAATATAAAGCTAAGTCTGGGTCACTTCCTGGAAATGCATCCCAAAACAACAACAACTATTGAAAAGTAGAATCGCGCCTTTTGAAGAGTACTGCCAAGCTTGCTGGAGTTTGTCTGCTACTAGGAAACGACTCAGAAGCAGTACTAGACTTCCTGGACTCCAGCTCCAAAAAGGGTCACTTCGAACTTGCGAATACACAACACAATGAAAACAAGCGCTGAACTTCACTTCAGGGAGTTGAGGGGAGGGGGGCCCAATTTATGCCTCAGAGGTGGACAGTACAAATTAGTGCTGTGTTTTGCGACACGCCATCGTCCGCCGGCTGATGGCGCGCGGCGATCATGCCAGATCTTCTGTTGCTTTGTAGAAATAAGCCCGAGCCCGCCACATGACGCACACCTCCGCCATATCATCAGAACAATTCAGCCATAGGTGTCGTGTTAGGGCAAATGGATGGCTCTGGTAGATGATTCAACCACCAGATAAACCAGGGCCATCTATGTTAGTTTCTACCTTCAACTTCTCACCCCCAGCCAAACAACGCGGACGCGGAATGAAACCGTGAAAGCCAGACTCCCAGCCATAAGGTTGAGCGGAGGTCACAAAGCTCTAAATCTCCTAATCTCCGTGTCCCCCGCATTTTCCCTGGCCAAGTGGCATCTTTTGTTGCCAGCTAGTCAGTGGCAGGGTGCGCTTCCAGCGGAGAACCATGGCGTGACCGTGAGTCCTGGAAAGCACTCGGCTGACGGGACTTTGTTGACTTTGCTTCTGAGGTTCCCATTCCTTTTGGGAGCAAACCTAGTGCCCTCTTGGGCAAACCTCACGCTTGAGCGCATCCAGGATCAAAGCTCAGTGTCAGAGTGCTACACATTTTGTCTTTCCATGGGGAAGGCGAAAAAAGGCTCTCCGAAACAGGCACTGCTTTACCGAAGCGGTCGGCAGGTAGGTACACGCGTCTGTTTTCCCCTGGGTCACGGAAGTACGAAACACTCTTCAGTCCCAATCGAAGTGGGCACAAGACATAGCACTGGGAAAACCGACCACAGCCGTACAGCCCTCAAAACAAACATGAAACCTAGGCAGCACATTTTCTTTGGCCCCACATGACCCCCCCCCTCCCACCCATCCGGCAAGCAACATGTTCACCTTCAGAGGCACAAATGTTGAACGTGCGACGCTGAGATGCCATTGGGTCTCCGCGAATCACTTTTAGTTGGTTACATGACAACCACGGCTAAACCCACTAAACACCAAGAAAAACAAAGGAACCGGATGGCTGGGAGCCACCAAGTTATATTACGGTAAGAGGGCAATGCTGCAGCAACACAACCAGTTCAAAGCAAATTATCGCGTCCATTGCCTTCAAGCCTGGCACTCGTTGATTTGCCGACGAATTGATCTGCTTGCCCTGTCCTCGCATGGTGGCGATTGGTGGCCTGGGCGCTGGCTACAGGGAAGCTTGATGGAGGTCCCGCCCCCCCCCCC